CAGAACCCGATGCGTACCTGACAGTTAGGAACGGCAAGACTGGAGATGAACAATCGCATGGACTACCAGGACTGAAGATAGCAGGCTGTTAGTGCCAGAAGGATACACCGATGTTACACAGTCCTTAGAGCAGCACGGATACACGATACAGCGCCCTCATCGACGCTGTAAAGCCATTACAGCACCACAGTTACAGACCCCCCCCCCAAGAAAGACAAACAAGAACACAACAAAAGTACAGCGACTTTCAGAAGACAGACGCGTGGGTGTAATAGAATTGACCTACTTACAAGACTATAGATGAATCAACCTATAATACTATGTATTAAAGTTGTAAAGCCATTACAGCAACACGGTTACAGCACCCCCCCCCCATGTTACATCCCCCCATCCCCATTATATAAAGTCATTACACCACCAGTTACAGCGCCCCCCATGTTACAAAGCCATTACAGCACCACGGTTACAGCACCCCCTATGTTACACCCCCATGTTATAAAGCCATTACAGCACCACAGTTACAGCACCCCAATGTGACACCCCCATGTTATAAGCCATTACAGCATCACAGTTAAAGCACCACCCCCCTGTTACACCCCCCTCCGATGCCATAAAGCCATTACAGCACGGTTCCGCTGCCCACGTGTCCCTTGGGACTGGCCGGATACTGACCTGATTGAATTCCCGCCCTGAAACAGAGTCAGGAGTAGTTACAGCTCACGGAATAACGACTGCCGAGTCATTAATGACTGCCGAGTCATTAACGGTCTGCCGAGTCATTAACGTTCATTCCGATAGTCCCAGCCTGTGAGTCATGGATACTCTTCAAGCAGAGGTTGATGGTGGAATATTGTTTGCTTTTTATATATGGCCCATTTTTGTTTCAATTTCAGTTTATTTCGCACTTTAAAACAAAATGTAACAACACAAATACAAATACAAGAAAATATAAATGAAATGTAACAGTGCAGGGAGGCCGGAAGCATAAAATGCTTATGTGATGGTGGAATATTGTTTGCTTTTTATATATGGCCCATTTTTGTTTCAATTTCAGTTTATTTCGCACTTTAAAACAAAATGTAACAACACAAATACAAATACAAGAAAATATAAATGAAATGTAACAGTGCAGGGAGGCCGGAAGCATAAAATGCTTATGAGGAGGCCTCCCTTCATAACGTGATTAACAATTCAAATAAATCGGATAAATAAGAAACAAGGAAAATCGTAGATTTTGTACCTCCGGGTATTGTAATGTATGTTGCAGAATGTTGGGTGCATGTTGGGACTGTTCTTTGAATTAACTAGTGAATTCGCGCGAATACCATTTTTTTCGAAAAGTTTCGAAATGTTTGTAATTGGCTAAATGATGTGTGAAATCACTAATCCCCCCTAGCCGACTGGAGCCCAAAAATAGAAAGGACAGGAGGCATCCCGTGGCGAATCTGGCTGCCCGACCCTCAGCGACCAGCGATAATGTAAACAAACACCTACACAAACGGCCGCGTGAGAAATCAACTCCAGTGCGCGGAACTTGCTCTCGAAAATGTATCAAGCCGCTACGCTTCCCCCCGCGGCTGCCATCCCTCCCCACTTATCCCACACTAGTTCAAATCACGCTCGGTCTTCAAGTATATCTTAGTGGATGATGAAAATCAGAAAACAACACGGAAATCCCCACCGAAGTTCGAAAACACAGGGACTCAGCGGTCGAGAGGCTTTGTACAGACACCCGGCCAGATCCGGACGCGAGGAGAGCCAGGGCGCAAATCAGGGTCGGCGGGGCGTGTGGCTTTCCCTGGCCGAAAGATTATCGCTCACTCGCGGTAGGGGATGGCACCCAAGCTAGCTCCAGGATAACATCGGCGACCCCGAGCCGAGTGTGCTGATTGATTGGCGAAGATGTAACCGCAAATGGTCAACCCGCGCGACCATTTTCACACACTAACAACAGTAACGGGTGTCCGAGACACGAAATACAAATAATCTTACGCCCCAAAACACATATACAATAAAACAAAAAAAACCTGCACCATCTACAGCCCATTAACAGAAGATACACCGAGTCCCGAGAACGTCTGAGACAGTATACCACGGTATTTGTAAGCCGAAAACATCCGAAATTGCGCAAGAGGGCGTTGACCCCTGACCCATTGGCCCACCCGGAAGTTCGCTGGCTGCGACCCGCGCGATCCCACCAGGCACGAGACGTTGATTGACGGCACATGTGGTTCACATCTGAACAGTTTCAAAGAATGCTGACACCCCTCTGTGTGAAAGGTCAGATCAGTGGTCGCGACCTCAATGGTGATTATACATGCAAAGGTCAAAAGCTGAGGCCCACTTTCACACTGAAAGGGGTGTCCATCGGCGGTCTAAACGCATCATTTTCACGCACTAAAACACACATACTAAAAAACCAAAACAACGTGCACCATCTACAGCCCAACAGCAAAACGTATACCAAGTCCCAGACATATCCGTCCACCCAAACGCGAGAAACGGGTGCGAACGCAGTTTTCGTCTTCCCTCACAAAACCTCCGCGCTCGGGATATACATCCCTACCCGGAGGTAACAACTTAGGTAACGGGTAAATGAAACAAAACAATAAAATAAAATACAATACGATTCAATTCTATCTACAATAATGAAAAGGAATAATGAAAAGTAGTAAACAAGGAAATCTAAACAAAAATTAGGAATGTGTGGGGTTATTTATGAAAGCTACTTAAGTATGATTTTTGAAAATGGTGATGGTAGCGACAAGAGGGTCCAGTTTGCCTGCATAGAAACTGTGTCCTCTGTGGCCGGCCAACTCCTCTGGCCAGCTACATTCTTTTTAGGCCGATTGCTACTATTTCTTCAGTCTGCAAATGAGTCTGGTGGAGACTATAATAGTGGGCCCCTCTGGGGTTTTGTGTTCATCCCTTACACATCATTATGCAGAGTTGTCAACAAGGAATCCTCAAATTACGTCTCTCAACGGGCCGGCTGACGGCTGGCCGTGCAGCAGAGACATCTAGCGCCCGTAATGGGTACTGCAGCATGTACGAGAGTAGAAAATGTTCACTCACTCGTAAAGGACGTTACAGCCAAGATTATAATAATCCTTTATAGGACCAAGGATAGGACTCAGCATTAGTCAGAAACAGACCCCCCTTGCAGGGTAAAACGCACCGTCCCCGCCCAGAGAGACCCTGCTGATAAAACGTACCGTCCCCGCCCAGAAATACGCGCTGCTGACGGTAAATCACTTCCTCCATCAGGGAGCCCTAAGCCTGGTCTGATCCCGTCAGGAGAACGGCAGACTTTATTACAGAAGCGCCTGTTATTGATGGGGAAATAGGCTCAGTACATACGTACAGTAGCCTCTACCAGGCTTGAGAAGGCGGCCGGAAAGAGTAGAAATCGGCCAAATAGAAAGATAAGATAAGCATGCCAAGGCAGTTTGTCCGTTGAGAGAACACTTCGCCGCACCCCAACGGACAAACTCCCCTGACATAGCCTCTACCAGGCACCGCGGATCGCTGGAAAAAATAGTAGAAATTGGCCGAAATAAAGGGATAGTAGACCAGAGAAGATCCAGGGCCATAGAAGCTCCAATTTGCGACGTGCCTGGTAGAGGCTATACGTACAGTGCTGATTAATAAATTCCGCAAAAAGCCAGCATGTGCCGGCTTGTCGTGTTAAACTGCAATTCACAATACCAGCTTTGTATTCCTGTGGTTTACTAGCATTTTTATTTTTGTCCGGAATTTTTTTATCCGCCCGCGCGCACTAGTTTGGGGGTCTTGAGAGGATGTCTTCCATAGAATTGAGTCGGTGTGGCCTAAATTACTTCCTCCATCAGGGAGCCCTAAGCCTGGTCTGATCCCTGCCAGGAGAACGGCAGAGTTTATTACAGAATCGCACGTTATTGATGGGAAAATAGGCTCAGTCTTTATGAGGAAAAAGTGTTGTTAATGACATCTGAATCAGGGGAATCCGCGCCAGCGTCGCGCAGGGATTTCTGCCGGTCTATCCGCGAAGCTCCGCCCGTTCTTTCCACAGACAATTATAGAATGGAACAACTTACCTACATGAGGCGTCTGTCGCAACTGCAGTCATCTGTAATCACTGTTCTGTAGCTATATCACACCGAACGGTATCTGACTGTATCGGTATAGCCAGTATAACCTGTGTTCTAGCCAGCCTGATTTTTCCCCCCGACATCTCAATTTTGTTTGGCGTAAAATCATGATGGGCGCTATTCAAAGGCCTCATACTGAAGGTGTAACAATACTAGGGAGTGTGGGGGCATGCTCCCCTTGGAAAGTCTGCAGTTTGAGGGGAAATTTAGCTAAATACATGGCTTGATTCAATGAAGTCTCTTTCCCTATCTTTACTCACTGATTTTCGGGGCCTACCGTTAACGTTACACCGGTCAAATGGCAGGTGCCGAACCCAAAGTTGGCAAAATCTTTAATAGCAACCGTTTGGATATGTGAAGTACGATTTGGCCAAGTTTCACATCTCCTCTAGTTCTGTCGTATGAATGAAAAGAGATCCAAGGTCAAGGCCTGTGACAGCATTTGATATGCAACTGGCTTTCCGGGCGAATCAGCTGCAGTTCCTCTGACCCTCGCCAGGCGCCGTTTGAAAGCAGGCGTCAAAAGCAGATACATTTACTAGTACGCTATCGAAATATGAGCATATCATACTAGTATTGTTGTTGGTTCTACCTTAAACTCAAGCAAATTCATTTTCTGCAGTTCCCGACTGCACCCTTCCGCGACGTAGTGAGTCATAGTTTGGATTTCAGGGTGAAAACTGCAGAAAGAAGCAGAAAGAACGTATGTTACTGAACTCTGGCAGCCATGTTGGTTTATCTGACCCCGGGGATTCTACCATGTTCTCCAAACGTAAAGTCATATCTACCTTGGTTTTCTGTCTCAACTGGCCTTACAAAATCAAACATTTAGATTCATTTGCTAAACGATGTTGGTATTTCTTTGATTTGTGTACCTTTTTGATTTGTAACTATTCTAAAATAAAACACGTTATTAGACAGTGCCACCCCTATTGTAAAGTAGACTGATCCTGTGACCTGCAACAACACAGACCATGTGGGCAGCGCAGAGTTCTTCCAAGTTTGGCGAAAAGACTTCAAGATAGAGGTAAACAAACAAACAAACAAACAAAGAAGATAACGCTTGTGTCGGTATTATCTATGATATGTGTACATTGTGTAGCAGCATTTTTAATTATCCAAGAGTATCCAGGTAAATAGCAGCAATGTAAAAACCGAAAGGGGCGAGCATGTCACAACCAGGAATCGAACCCGAGTTGTCCGCTTGGCGGTCACCAACGCTAACCACTACACTAAAAGGTCGCACGACCATTTAGCATGGTCAGTTAGCACTGTTACACTACTCCCCCTTTTCTTTCAAGATTCGTCCTCGAATCTTCCGAGTCCGACATCCCTGGAGCTGCCACACTTATCCTCAGTGCCAGTACTCACAGGGCCGGCATGGGAACCACTGTAAAAACCGAAAGGGGCGAGCATGTCACAACCGGGAATCGAACCCGAGTTGTCCGCTTGGCGGTCACCAACGCTAACCACTACACTAAAAGGTCGCACGACCATTTAGCATGGTCAGTTAGCACTGTTACAGCAAGGTATAACTATGAGAATGCACATAACGTTAACGTTATACTGATTAGTCAACCATAATATTATTGTTCATGTCCACATACATAGTTCAGCTCTGGTGACTGCTGCATGGCTTCTCTTACAAGACAGCAACATTTGCCGCTTGTGTTGAATCCTACATTCACAATTTCAGTCTGTGTTTCTACATTTCATATTTGCCCTGCAGGATGCGATAACACATATCATGGACCAGGACAGGTGTGTATCTGAGGACAGGTGTGTATCGGAGGACAGGTGTGTTTGGGAGGACAGGTGTGTATCGGAGGACAGGTGTGTATCAGAGGACAGGTGTGTTTTGGAGGACAGGTGTGTTTCGGAGGACAGGTGTGCCTTGCTGCGGCAGGTGTGGGCCATGCTGCTGGACCCAGACAAGTCCGTACAAGACGACACGTCCCTGCAGAAGCTGGTCTCCTGGCTCGAGCGGATTTCAGCGGACTCAGGTGAGGCCACACCAATTTAATTGTTGGTTCTCAGATTCACCTCTTCGTTTTTTTCTGATTTGCAAAAAAAAAAAAAAGATTCTGGTTCTGGTTCAAATATGCTCATATTTTACCACCAACAGTTGAGGAAAGTCCAAGCCTTTTGTGTTGACTTCAAGACTCCTATCTAGCATTTCTGATCTTTCCTGAAACAGTAAACTAGCAGATGTACTTAGCCTTCTCCCGGTACATCGAGAGTACGCACTGATTCGACCTGCTCTACTAAAGACACTTCCAGCTTCATGCAAGTGCAAGGCACCAAGAGTTAAATACCTAGAGAAACAATTTGACTCTGAACTGAACCAAGCGCAAACCAGCACCAAGAGAACAAGTCTCGCGAGACATTAGACAACAACAACAACATCAATGCTGGCACGAAACATTGTTTTTACGCAGAATTATTTTGTACCTGCTGTAGACACTCTGCTGTCCCCGCTGTCTGGAACTTTGCTGTTCCTCCAGGAGCTCACGAATCTGCAGGCTTCCAACGAGGTGCTAGCTTTTGGACTGAGAGTCGCTGGATGTCTGGCAAGGTAGGCAGGACACTTTTTACAGACCCCCCCCCCCCCAACTCATTCCTGACTATTCAGTCCTTGGTTCTGCTCCTAACCCAACCAGTCTGCTGCTCCCTAAAACTGCCTGTCTACCTCCATCCCAGGTTTGTATGACTGGACTCTGCCGCTAAGCATTCTCTTCCTATATGTGTTTATCCAGCACCATGTATGGGTCTCCAGCGTGGGTTTTGTCCCCTAAGGCCACACCAATTTAATTTCTTGGTTAACGGATTTGCCCACTTAATTTTTTTCTGATTTGCAAAAAAAAAATTCATATTTTGCCCTGAACAGTTGAAAACAGTCCTTTTCTTCCGAGTTGTTACAGTTATGTTAAATTTTGAACCAGCTTGGTATGTTGACTTCATGGCTCCTATCGTACCATTTTGGGCCATATTTAGGATGCCTAGGCCTGTTATTATTTTTTTTCGCCCACCCGGTACATTATTTTTCTACAAAAATCTGTTAACCAAAACAATTAAATTGGTATGGCCTAACCCCCGTGGGTGACCCTTTCTATGTTCACCCAGCACCCAGCCTGGGTTCTGTGCCTTACGTGGGTTTCCAGCGTGGGTTTTGTCCCCTAACCCCCAGTGTCCCCAGGGCTCGAAATTAACATTGTCCCAGTGTCAAATGACACTAAATTTTCAGCTTGGGACAATTCAAATTACGTTTCGGGACAATTTTGGGGCAATTGGAAAATTCTAAGACCATCCACGTCATTTGGGAACGCGATCCATCCATCCTGCTGCAGACTGCTGGCAGCCTATAAATATATAATACTCTGACAAACATTTAAATTTGACCAACCAGGGATTCCAAATATCAGGGACGGTGCCATGCCCATGATATTATCATGTATTTCCCTACATTTACTAATAAAGTGGACTTCAAGTTGTACAAATTCAGTTGTTGTTTTCTTATTTTTGTCATCAACTTATTTCCTGAAAAGCAGACTGGGACAATCCATCTTCAGTTCGGGACAATTGAAATCTATGTTCGGGACAATTCTGGGACAATAGTGAAAAAAGTTAATTTCGAGGCCTGGTCCCTTCCTGTGTTCCCCAGCACCCAGCCTGGGTCCTGTGCCTTACGTGGGTTTCTAGCGTGGGTTTTGTCTGCTAACCCCACCTTTTTTATCTTTATTCAGCACCCTGCCTGGGTTATGTGCCTTACGTGGGCCGCCCGACCTCCTGCGTGGGTTGTTTATTGCCGTCGCCGCCGGCGACAGGTTTGCAGTGGCCAACATCAGGAACAGCTGGCTGCAGGGTCTGCACTCCATCACCAGGCACACACACGGGCTCACCTGGCTCCTCACATCAGGTGGGTACATTTCCTCACCTGGCTGCTTACCTCAGGTGGGTACATTTCCTCACCTGGCTGCTTACCTCAGGTGGGTACATTTCCTCACCTGGCTCCTTACCTCAGGTGGGTACATTTCCTCACCTGGCTGCTCACATCAGGTGGGTACATTTCCTCACCTGGCTGCTCACATCAGGTGGGTACATTTCCTCACCTGGCTGCTTACCTCAGGTGGGTACATTTCCTCACCTGGCTGCTTACCTCAGGTGGGTACATTTCCTCACCTGGCTGCTTACCTCAGGTGGGTACATTTCCTCACCTGGCTGCTCACATCAGGTGAGACATCAGTGCTCCGCCATGACATTTAGATTTGAAATAAGAAAGTTGCCAAGATGTTTCATTAAGATATAGGCTAGCTCCAGTTTGCGTTGATGTTTATTTGTTCCTTCAGTTATTTATTTGGATTATTTGTGTTGATTTTTTATTTGTTTAAGCAGGTGCTCTAGTTTGTGTTGATGTTTACTTGTTGCAGGTGCACCGTGCTGCTACATGTGTTTGTGTTGTTGTTTCCATGTTTCTGCAGGTGCTCTGCCCCAGGTGCTGAGCTGCACCGCAGACAGCAGCCGGTTTGTGACGGCATCGGCCTGCAGACTCCTCGCCTCGTCCCTCGTCCTCTCACAGCATCCGCCTGTCACCATGGCAACTCAGCATCCGCCTGTCACCATGGCAACACAGCATCCGCCTGTCGCCATGACAACACAGCATCCCCCTGTCGCCATGGCAACACAGCATCCGCCTGTCACCATGGCAACACAGCATCCGCCTGTCACCATGGCAACACAGCATCCGCCTGTCACCATGGCAACACAGCATCCGCCTGTCACCATGGCAACACAGCATCCGCCTGTCACCATGGCAACACAGCATCCGCCTGTCACCATGGCAACAGAGCCTCTGGCCAGCCCAAATATGGCAGACCTGACAGACTTGCAAAGTTCAACAGCAACAATTTTATCCTTCCTGGACGACCAGTTAAACAGCACTGTCCCAGAATGCACAGCAGCAGGGTTAAAGGTCAGTGCATCTGTTATTTTGTTCTTTTCCATTCAGTAGTCTAGATAAAGTTTATAGTAATTAAAATTGTTAAATTTGAAATTAAGAATGCACTGCCATTGTAGGTGATTGCAGAAGTCTGGCGGCTGAAATCAGCACTTCAGCTGAACTCTGACCCACTGCTGAGGTCAGACAGCTGGGAGGTCGTGACCTGTGACCCCATGAGCAGCTGGTTCCCGCTGCTGAGGTCAGACAGCCGAGAGGTCAGGAGAGCTGCAGTAGAAGTTTTACAGGGGGTTCTGGAACAGAGCAGGTGGGTCAGTTTTACATCAGTGATGTAGATGTTGGAAATGCAACTTCTTTAAGCACATTATTGAGCAGAGGACTGAAGCATGTGCCATCCGTATATATTACTATAGGTCTGTACTTGTTAATATTTCTGTGCTTACCTGCTGTCCTATCCTAGCTGTCTACATGTCCTTTTCTGGCATGGGCAACACAGCTGACTTTGTTCCTGACCTTGAGATGTTGCTGTCCATATATCAGCTGTCCTACATGTAGCTGCCCATGTAATTCCCTACAGCAGCACAGCTGACTTTGTTCCTGGCCTTGAGATGTTGCTGTCCATATATCAGCTGTTCGAACTGCCCATGTAATTCCCTACAGCAGCACAGCTGACTTTGTTCCTGACCTTGAGATGTTGCTGTCCATATATCAGCTGTTCGAACTGCCCATGTAATTCCCTACAGCAGCACAGCTGACTTTGTTCCTGACCTTGAGATGTTGCTGTCCCTGCCTGCTGACCTTGCAGACCCGAGGGAGGCTGGACAGCTAACAGCTGTGCTGTGTGTTTCCCCGCCGTTGCCAAGGTAACAGTAATGTATCAGCAGATGATTTATATAGAAGTAGTGTTTACCATTTAATATTCCATTACTACCCAGCCTGACTCAGCCCACATTGTACTGGACTTTTCCCCAGAATTTATTAATTTTATTTCTATTCATTCTTATTCCCTGATCATTTCTTTTTATTCCTGATTATGAATCAGACCCAGGGTCCATATTAAAAACAGACAATATACAGACATTTACATACAACAATAACCTTACATGATGAAGTGCAAAAGTGTGCAGGCAGAAGAACTAGCTGACAGTTGTAGGACCAGTGCCGGCTTGATGAGAAAAACTCCGCCTGCCATAGCAGATGGATTGTGAGGAATTGTTACCCGGAATTTATATAATTGTGATAATAATTCTCACCCTAGGGCGTTTCCCCAGGATTACTACCAGCGACTGCTGCAGCAGATTCTGCGGCCGCTGCTGGGAATTCTGCAGTCAGAACAGGTCAGCAAACAGGATGGACAGCATGAATGTATGATTGAGCACATAGTTATTTGAAAAATGAAGAATTGTAGTAATCGAGATTTGGTACATTTGGAATGTTTCATTTTGTCTTGCTTGCTGGAAAGTTACACGCATTCCCCACTGTTACTGTCAATACTTTTTACTGGAAAGTCCTTTAGTTGTAGAGTTCTGCTATTCAAAACACTATTTCCAGTAGTTACATTTGATTTTTATAACTGTGTCCCCAGATGACCCAGCCGAGCCGTACTGTTGTTTCCACTGTCTGCTGCAGTCTGTCTGCCCTGGAGACGTTTGTTGCCAAGGTGGGACCTTATTTTTGTTCCCTTCATTCACCAGTTTTGTACTTATGTTTGTAGCGCAGCCGTTTCCTCTCTGATGTGTTTTGACCACCTGTGATGTTATTCAGGGGTGTTTCAGCAGCAATCAGCAAATGGCAGAACAGGTGCTGACTCACCTGTCAGGTGTTCTGGCAGCTGCAGCTGGAACAGCTGAACACACCTGTAAGAACACCTGTGAGCCACCTGCAGCTGCGATGCTGAAGGGAAACTCTCGTGTCATCAAGGCCACAGCACAGACACTGATGTGTCTCGTCACACAAGCAGGTAAGGCTATCCCAGCATGCACCCTGGTCACACAAGCAGGTAAGGCTATCCCAGCATGCACCTGGTCACTCAAGCAGGTAATGCTATCCCAGCATGCACCCTGGTCACAACAGCAGGTAAGGCTATCCCAGCAGGCACCCTGGTCACAGAAGCAGTAAGGCTATCCCAGCATGCACCTAGTCACAGAAGCAGGTAAGGCTATCCCAGCATGCATCCTGGTCACAGAAGCAGGTAAGGCTATCCCAGCATGCAGCCTGATGCCCATGTAGTATTAGATAATATTCATGTGTGCAATGTTACAGACTCATGTGTGCAATGTTACAGAAGATTCCCTTGTTTTTTCCCAGATGTCGGCTCCAGTCCTGTCCTGAAGGAAGTGATGGACAGTCTCGTCTCCATCCTGGACCGACCGGAGGCAGACTGTATGGTGAGTATCCGACGTGTCTGCAGGTGATTTTTTTTGCAACAAGTACAGATAGATACATCTGCTGCCACTTTGTTTGCTGTGTTGCAGGTGGTGAGTAAGTGTCTGCAGCTGATTTGTTGTGTTGCAGTTGGTGAGTAAGTGCCTGCAGCTGATTTGTTGTGTTGCAGGTGGTGAGTAAGTGTCTGCAGCTGATTTGCTGTGCTGTGTTGCAGGTGGTGAGTAAGTGTCTGCAGCTGATTTGCTGTTGTGTTGCAGGTGGTGAGTAAGTGCCTGCAGCTGATTTGCTGTTGTGTTGCAGGTGGTGAGTAAGTGCCTGCAGCTGATTTGCTGTGTTGCAGGTGGTGAGTAAGTGCCTGCAGCTGATTTGCTGTTGTGTTGCAGGTGGTGAGTAAGTGCCTGCAGCTGATTTGCTGTTGTGTTGCAGGTGGTGAGTAAGTGCCTGCAGCTGATTTGCTGCTGTGTTGCAGGTGGTGAGTAAGTGTCTGCAGCTGATTTGCTGCTGTGTTGCAGGTGATGAGTAAGTGTCTGCAGCTGATTTGTTGTGTTGCAGGTGGTGAGTAAGTGTCTGCAGCTGATTTGTTGTGTTGCAGGTGGTGAGTAAGTGTCTGCAGCTGATTTGCTGCTGTGTTGCAGGTGGTGAGTAAGTGTCTGCAGCTGATTTGCTGCTGTGTTGCAGGTGGTGAGTAAGTGCCTGCAGCTGACCGCAGCCCTGATGAAGACGTCCCGTGCCGTAGCTGCCTGCAGTTTTTCCACCCGACCTGGGCTGACCTCCGTGCTGCAGCGCCGACTCTGTGACCCGCGCTGGGAAATCCGCGATTCTGTTTTCGAGTTCCTGGCAGCCATGATGGCTGGGTGCAAAGGTAAGCTCAAGGTGATACTGTATAGTTGTGTTTTTTATTAATCTCCAAGCAGATCATACGATGGCTAATGGACACTGGCCAATGGATAGTGACTGGTGGAAAGCTGTAGATGAGGGAATTTTGTGTTGGATCCAAAGTTATAGTTTAAACAAGAATGCACCACGCTAACTCTATGGTTGTGCCCAGACGGCCTGGCGGGTTCCTGGCTGGTGCAGGGAGGTTTCCACAGCAGCATCTGGGACTGTGTAGAGATGGGGGACGGCTACGCACAAGCCTCTGCCCTGGCTGCCCTCAAACACTGCCCCACTGTACCTGCTATGTGGCAGGCTCTGCTACAGGACTCAGGTCTAACTCAGGTCAGTAACCCAATCACTAACCCACACCTAACTAATCACTAACTCACATCTAACTCAGGTACTTTTCTTTCAACTTGTTAAACTGTAGATAAATTCAATGACATTCTAAGGGGAGATAACCAATAGTGTGCAAATAGAGAAATACATGTACAATAAAGAACCCCAGAGACTACAGGTTAGAGAATAGTTAAACCTTTATTGCTGCCGCTGATATATCCTGTAGGATTCTGTGCTGGACATGTTGGTGCAGATTGTTGGTGCTGACGTGGAGACAGTCGTGAGGACCGCTGCCATCGGCTGCTTCTCCTTCTGGGTGCAGACGTGCGACGGAATCAGGCATCGGATCCTGGAATCCTACAAGCAACAACAGAAACAAGAACAGCAACAACAACGACATCAACACCAACATCAGCAACAACAAAATCAGCAAGAACGGCATCAGCACACATTTGAACCCCTCGATTCCCATCGAGTAGCAGAAGCTATTGTAGGTGAGGCGACCTATGACCTGGTGGTGACCTGCAGTGACAGGTCACCCGGAGTGAAACAGCTGCCATTGGCTGCTGAGCCGACCAATCAGCACGCGAGCCGGGTGCTGCAGATCCTGCAGGCTGTGAGTAAGGACCTGGACTGGGAGGTGAAGCTGGCAGCGCTGCGGTTCTGGGAACACGTGATCGCTCACTACCTGCCTGGGTTTTCAGCTGGAGCTGTTAGCACAGGGCAGAGTCCCAACCACAGGTACAGCTCTACATCTGTCTCTTAAACAAGCAAATGGTAACATTGCATTAAACAAAAGCCTCCAGAAAACTTTAATGAAGAATGGTCTTGTGCCTTCTGTCATTCTTTCATTCATTCATTCATTCATTCACTCACTCATTCCTACAGCTCACGTGGTCAGGACGGTGGTTCCGATGTTCAGAGTTCCTGCATGGAGGCAGGAGACACAAACTGGAGCCATGCCGTGGAGAATCTGTCCTCTCATGGCTGCCTGCAGCTGCTTGTGGAGGCTGCGGATGACTACGACAGACCAGTGTCAGAAAAGGCCTGCAGAATGCTGAAGGAGCTGAAAGCCATGATGACATCCCAGGACCAAAGTGTAAAGTATGTATAAGTCTAATCATCGCAATGTGATTTTAAGTAGAGTTTTATAAGTATATACAACTTTCAGCAAGTGTCCGAGATAATTTTATTGGTGTAATGCATATCTTATTGCTTCTATGGTATGTCACAACTCAGTTCAGCTAAATCAACAAAGCTGCTTCTTTGTGACAACTGGAAACTGTTTTAAGTGTATTTGAAAGGTTACGTGTGGATAAACCATTCTCTCTCTCTCTCCCTCTCTCCCTCCCTCCCTCTCTCTCTCTCTCAGTCTGGAACAGCAGGAGGATTTTCTCCGGTACCTCAGGGAAACGGATTTTGAGGCGATTCTTCAGATGAAAACGGGAGGAGACAGCTTCGAATCTTTGCTGGAGGACATCTTGTCAGGTGCCAGGCGGAGGGAAGCAAACCAGAAGGACTGCTATGATGATTAATATACAACATATAGAAGCCACTTTCTCTGTCTGGTACAATGTAGCTATAAATACTTCTTGTGTCGATGAAGGTTAGACATCCTGGTACAGGATTATGTAGACCACGTGACAAAGCTAGCTGTGGGGATTGGGGAACATTTTTAGCCAGACTGGTCATAACATTTTATTTGTACGCCAATGAGCGAGCCTAAAACACGTACCTTTAACCCCCCGCGTTGGCAAACAACGTGTGGCGAGCATAAACCACCCTCGACAACCTGGACGCCACAGCATTTTCCTGCCACCGCGTTTTCCCGTGGACGAACAGACTTCGGTAGCGGCGTGTGTACCGGGTGCCCTGTTTGTGCTGTTGTTTCAGGACCGTTCTACATGCTTGAGGGTCCGTCATTGAATTTGCAGGAATTTCAGCTTTCAAACATGGGAATTTCTCGGCTCTCGCTGGACTAAGATAAACTGAACTACTGTCGGCGACAACAAAGGTATATAACAAGATATCTTATCAATCTTGTTGATTACTTTTACCATTTCCGTAAGTACGTTACAGAATGGTCGTAAACGTGACTGACAAGGCTCTACTTATTTGCGTTTTCCTGGGACATCTGAATCCGTAACTCTTAAGTGTTAGTCTTATTTTTGTGGTTACGTTGTGTTGATACAAGTCACAACTTGAACTCTGGTGCGCACCATATTAACTTGTACTTTTGTTTGAAATTTAAAAATCTAGATGTAGCAGAAAAGTTAGCCCTAAAAGCGGTTGCAATTCTTTCCTAGAGCATGCACCAGGTGTGAACGTTTTGTGAGTGTACAACTGGTTCGTGTCATTTAAGTAATCTCCAAGCAGATGTGGAGTCTGGCAGTGGTGCGCGCTATTTATCTCATCGTGCCCTACGTACATACAAAATTACCCCCAAACAAGCAAAAACTCCAGAGCCATCCTACGTCTGCTTGGGGATCACTTATCCACATACCTATAGAGATAAACTTCAATTTGATACAATAAGCCGCTGCTCCTGGTGAATATGGATCTACTGTCTGATCATCAAAATACTTGCAGGTAGCTCGAGCCGTCTCATGCGCATCTCGCCAGGTGTGTTTGTTGCTATTGATTTTTGGTTATATCAAATCAGTGTTCTGCAGACCCCCGGCGGGTTATCGGGGTGTTTGCTCAGAAACAATCTTTGTTCTGAAGTCCGCAGTAGCTTTTATAGCAAATATTTACAGGGCCTCTTGAACCTGTTTTTAATTATACGTTCAAAGACCACATCTGCGAAGAAGCCCGCATTTCCTGTAGCCTCCCTAGCAGGCTCCTCAGGGTCGGCATTTCGGCTCGCCTTTTAAATATAATGCGCTTTTTTCTGGCACCTCACATCTACTAGTATTTGTACTGGCACGGCAAAGGGACCCCGGTACAACTGGAAGTGCAAGATGGGATGGTATGGCGTAACAGTAGAGTGTTCGTCTCAGAACCAAGAGGCCCCGGGTTCGAATCCTGCCATGTCACCGATCCCGTGCCCTTGGGAAAGGTGACTTTCCTCACGCATTGTATTGTCCTCTGTGTTGGCGGCGACGTAAAAATAAGTTGTGTGACATCACCACGTCTGATTACATGTTGGCATTAAAAAAAGTGCAAGATATACCAGAAAGAAAAGAAACGCGTTATAAAGGCTCTCCGAAAAGCTCACCGGAGAGTCTGCTAAGGAGGCTAGATTTTTTCCGCACGTACGCGTCCCATGCCGAAGTCTATGTTGGGCTATGAAGGGCTCTATTTCAGGATGGACGCAAGCTTGATTTCATGCATTTTTATGGGTTCACCACACCACGAAGTGGTGTGGTGAAACCATATTGCTTTTTCTGATGTTTCTTCTCCTTCTTCTCCTGCCATTTTTTAAATGGATTCAGCTTCTTCATTTTAGGGCCTAAGGTCCTGAAATTTGGTATGGAGGTACAGTGGGCAAATACCCCTAGGCGTTTTTTAAATTATTGTGATACAGGCTTTTAGAATGGTTTTATTTGAGTTTTTTGGCTGTGTTATAGCAAATGTATTACTGTGTTAGTTTGCCTTGTTTACCACGTTTGGGCATGAGTCATCCCAATGGAATGCAGGGCATCAACCAATAGGCATGCAGCTTTCCTCTATACTTCTTGCTGATTGGCTGTTGGGATTTAACTTGATTAACACCTGCACAGAAGCATTTCCATACTGACAGTATGTCTGTATTCAAGTGTTTTGGTAGGTATTTCAAGCTTTCCTGCTCCAGCATTGGAATGCCGGGCATGGACGTTTTTTTTTATTTTGAAAATCAACAGTTTGCATTATACAATTAAAAATCCTAACCAATAAAGTAGGGAATAGCTATCCAACTGTTGTTTTAGTTGTATTTTACTTCATATTATAGTTACATCAATGTAAATCATTGTTTTCCCTTGTGTTTCTCATTCTTTCCCTGCCATGTGGTAAAATGTGGTGAACCCATCGCTGTATTTGCTCCAAAGCAAATATTGGCCTTTCTAGTGTGAATTTCATTTTCCCTCTATGACACCACATATTCTCTCCCCTCCACCACCCAATATTTGAATAGAACTCAATACCAGTTGAGCTCCTGATACCTGATGCTAAAAGTAACGAATCGAAAGTCATCAGCAGCAAAAATATCGTACTTGTTTAACAAAGACGCACTCTGTCTGTAATGAAAAGCAGGACGCGTTGTGCCGTTGCCCCATCGTGTTGCTGGAAGGAGAGCAGATCTGCTGCGTGTTTGACGGGCGGATCCGCCCAGAGGGGAAGACTAACGGGTACCACGGAGTGAACTTCACGTTCTACTGCGAGCGGCCGCGCGTGCTGGAGTTCCACGTGAGGCTGGCGGGCGGAGGCAGAGGCGCTACATCCCGAGTCAGCCCTGGAGTCAGCGTGTACCCCGGGCGGCTGGAGGCACTCCCACCTAGGCCTCCTACACCCCCTACATACTCTACACCCCCTACATACTCTACACCCCCTACATACTCTACACCCCCTACATACCTTCCACAGACTGAAGTACAAACATCTACAGTTTATTATGAATATGATACTGTTTTTTCATTCGTACGAGATGCATCGCCATCGCCGCCTCCGACAACAGCACAGTTGCCCGAACCTCTGGCAACTGCGGAAGTAACGCCTCCCAGAGATCCCGTACATCAGGCACCATCACAATGGCCAGACCCCCTGGCAACTGCTCAAATAACTCTTCCCACTGTAAGTAAGGTTATTATACGTTATTATCTTCAACAGAGCAGTATATACGTACTTGCAGCATTTGGTGGTTGTTTGTTTGTTTCCTCTGCCTATTAAAGATAAAGCCAAAGTTGGTATTACATTCATACATATATTTGACATATTTCCATGCAGCTGTGATGAAGAAAAGTCTATGTCAGCCCCCGTCTGTGCCAGCCCCCGTCTGTGCCAGCCCCCGTCTGTGCCAGCCCCCGTCTGTGCCAGCCCCCGTCTGTGTCACGTCTATCTGTGTCAGCCCCGCAGTGCCAGTGGACAAATACTTAGTACATGTACAACAAAGGGCTCCTCGGAGACTTTGGGCATGCGCGGTAGGAGAAACAGTCAGTTCAAAACGTCTGGAGTGGCTATAATTCATTGAGGAAAGGGGTCTTATTTTATACCAAATGTTCCTTCTGTTCCTGCAATTAGCCCTTGGGCATGAATTCGAAAACATTCGATATACGGAACAGTACTATGTACAGTTTTAATGATAATAACGTTTATGCTTCATCAATAATGTCCTGATGAACTTTTGATGGACGAGATTTAAGGTATGCGAAAACATTTTTTTTTCATGTTGAACATACTGGAGCCGGGCCATCGAAGCGAACCGTGTGCCATGGTAACCACACCTGCAGTTATCATAGTCCTCGCTAGGAGATACCGTTTCTCATGCAGACACGTGCTTTACTGTGGGCCTGGCGATAAATCATGAGCACACTGTCTGCGGATGATAATTTCGATAATATCGATGATTTCATTTAGGGATGGACAGTTTCACTACTTTGAGCTTAAATCATTTTGAGCAATGAAATGAAAATGCTCCTTGAACAAACGCACAGTAGCGACTTATATCAAATTAGGACGCCCGCCTTCGGTATTGTACGGTTGACACGACATTCCCAAAGCTTCGGCTATTTGTGCGAGCAGGATTATATATACTATTATAGTGTAGCTGTAAGAGTAGTAAATTAGCTCGTGGAGGTTTTTCTACCTCCACGATTAGCTGTAAGACAAGTAGGGATGAAAAAGTGATAGAGGCATGAACTTTTTGCCTGGTTTATACCAGAACTATTATAGCTCCCAAATCCTACATCCTCTTACTTTTAGACCGATTTCTGCTATCTAATTCAGCCCGAAAAGGAGTCTGGTGGAGACCGTTATATGTGCGGAAAGACTGGCGAGGGAAAATTCCAGCTGCGACACGTGACTGTTTTTTCTGTGACGTAAACGTAAATTAAGCGCTTGTAGAATGGATCACGTGCCCACGGCATGTTTGAAACCATGACGCGATTCGTAATCTCCAAGCAGATCCCTTTCGGTGGTAAAAAGACAATATCAAATTGGCCAGCCAGTATCCATTAGCCACGCACAAAAAAAGGCCATATATAAAAAACATACGATCATTCACCCACAACCTCTGCTTGGAGAGTAGCGATTCGGACTTCCGCCCTTAATTCACTCTTTGACTTCTAGTTGTTTTCCATACCAGAACATGGCCAAATATTTGCCATCATAGATGTATTCCATATATAAACCATAAATAAACACAAAACCATACCAGAGAATCATACTTTACCAACGCAGTTTGCAATAAACATGTTTATGTTTATTCCCGAAAAAAGTGAAGTATTCATTATTGGTTTGAGCCTATTGCGTGCATGACTGTGTGTGATTTTAACCCCCTTGGTTATCGGATGTTAACGGACGTTAACGGTATAACACTCAAGGAGAGCAAGGAGGTTGAAAAGGGATGCCATTGATGATGATGATATGTGTTTGTGCGTTCCTGACTGTGTAAAGAGGATGAAGTATCCAGCCAGATGGTGACGGCTTTCACA